CCAGGGGAACTGCTGAGTGAGAGGGCTTCCAGAACACTCTTGGCTACAGCCAAGGCTGCTGGAAGCGGGTTGGAACACGGTTCTGGATAGTCCATTCTTGTTCGAATCCTGTTTCTGAAGTAGAATTGACAAAAAAGATTATGGAAGTTTGGAATCATTTCCAGATGGGCGGCAGATTAATTGATCCTTTTGCTTAAGACTGAGCATAGTTCTTAGTTCTCCCTGTCTGCTTCCCGCATATTTGTTGCCTTGATATATCAAGCTCCTTATGGCTTCAGTCTGGGTGGTTTGAGGTGGTGATGGAGAATTAACTCAGGAGACCTGAAGTCAGGATTCTGAGATTTTCTGCTATCCAAGTTGAGAATGTAAGAGGTGAGGCAGAATGAGTGGTTACCAAGCTTAAGAATGTTAGTGCAACCATTTTCCCAAGTTCCTGGCCTGTTGGGATCTGATAGTGTCTAGGTCCCTGGCTGTCAGAAGGCAGGATGCCAGAGAATAGTCCCTCTGGCGCTCTACTTCCCTTTCCAGCTAGAACGAAGCATCAGCAGCATCACTGAGAAACTGCAGAAAGTTTGTCGTCAGGATTTACTTTATTTGGGTTTGAAAGAATTCACTGGTTCTTTGTGCTAGAAATAAGCACTTGGGCTATATATAATTTATATAATTTAAGAAACTCATTCTGTTCACTTTAAATTGATGTAGGATTGTCCTTAATTTGAGTTCCACTTCAAAAGTCCCTTAGTCTTTTCCTGAATAAAATGAAGCCACCACTGTAGATGATATTTATTCTGACATGAAGTTGGTGAACATGGAGATACATTAAGAAACAAAACAAGTGATGCAGTATCACCAAATCACTCAAAACAGGATATTTGGTAGCACAACAGAATAAGGGTGTTGCTTATGGTAACTGCTCTGGTTTGTGGAGTGTGTTGTCATTAAGTGTGCAGTGAAATTTTAACTGCCAGAGTAAACAAATACATTTAATTCTAGGAAAAAAATGCATTCTTACCAAGTTGATTTATGTTATACAAACGTATACAGGCCTCTTTTAGATAATAAAACAGATGGTAGATAATAAACATTTATGTGATCAAATCAGAAGGAAAATGTATAATTTTAGAAAAACACAGTTTGACTTTCAGGCATATAAGGCATCCTTAAGATAAACGTTAGGATTTGTTAGTAAGGAGAAAAACTTGTCTATGGTTTTTCAGTGCTAAAAATGGAGATTTAAAAGTTTAGGAAGAAGGTTGTTTTACGTTTTTCACAGCTCCTGAAATCCTGTGTAGCCATAGCAGAGGCCAGGAACGGGGCATCCTTTACAGGCACCCTTTATTGTCCAGCTTGGCTAGTCATTTGGCCAAGTTGATGTCCCCTGTTGTAGTCCTGCTGCCAGTTTGCTTGGGGACAGGTGAATTGATGGGTCTCTTGTTCTTTCTGAAGTTCAGCAAGGATTCCTCCCTTCCTTTCATCCTGGTTCAAGGGCATCTTGCTGCTGCTGCTAAATTGTCTCAGTCCCACAGGGCAAAATGAGAGAAGCCTTCAAGACACCGCAGCATTTTAAATAGCTCCTTGTTTTATTTCCTCAGCTTTAGTGTCTCTAGAGAGAAAAGAAATGGACAGCAGGTTTTTTTGCCTGTCACTCTTACAAAGTTTTTTTCTCCCATAGCAGCTGAGAGGCTAAAATAAAAACTATTAGTTGACACTCTAAAATAGACCAAGGTTCTGTACATGAAGATTATTTCTTGTTGCTCACCAGAACAGATAAAGCTACTTGGGAGCCAGAGAGCTAAATTTGAGAGGTTTTACATTTCAGCTAATTTAAGGCCTTACATTTTCCTGGGAAATTGCTGCTGCTTTACATAATGCATGAATGCCAGTCTGAGTACAGACACTCTGGGTACATTTTCTACAGGTTGTTGTTATGGGGGTACAGTTGAAGGACTTCAGGTAGCTCCTTAGCAGAAGAAACACTTCTGTAAGTCTCAACACATGCCGGCATGACTGACAGTGAGGTCTGAAAGAACCAGCACACCCTTAACTGATACAAGAGTCGATAATCTTAATTTCTGTTTCTATTCTTCAGATGGATGCGAACAAGAGCAACTGTTTTAGACCTTCTATTAGATATCTAGGTATTGTAAACCCCTTGTGGATTAGAATTTTCTCTTTAATTCTTTATCCTTATTATTAGTGAACACTAGCCTCACCCTGGACCCATGTCCTAGGTCTGCTGCAGTTGCTATTTGTTTACTGCAGCTTTCAGAACATTTTGAAGTTGATGTCCTTAATTAACTGTAGAACTTGTGGGGATGCTTCCCACCCTTTTCTTCCTAAATGTTTTAAATTCTTGGGTGTTTATTGCCCTAGTCTCTAAGTTCCTCTAGTAGCTGGACATTTCATTGAGTCTGCAAGTTGGATGCAGATTATATCTTTGACCTTGAACGCAAATCAGTGAAAAACACTGTTCTACTCTTCATTTTGGTGTTCTTAAAATGTGGGGTCCAAGATGGAGAAATGGGAAGTAGGACAAATTAGTCATGATTAAGGAAGAGAGAAATTTAGGAGTACAGAATCCTGAAAACCAGCGAAGTAATTGAACCCTGATAGTCACAAGTGGCGCAGCTAGAGCAGTGGTGGAGTACAGAGGGTAGGTATCTCTCTCCTTGCTGCTTTTCACTCATATCAACATATCAGCCAGAACCAGGTAACTGGAATAATTTTAATAAAATGTTGGGCCACATGAGTGACAGTTACTCTAGTGTATAGTCTGTTCCCAACGACCAGAACTCTGATTGGCTTACAGCACAGTCTTACTGTACATTCCAGCCAATCAGGGATTAGTTTAGTCATTGAACTAATGAACTAATGTTTTTAAAAGCTGAGTACTGGGCACTTGCCTTTTGCTTTCTTTCTCTAGGACTTTAGAAGATTGGAGAACAATGATCAGCGGCTGCCTAGGTGCCTTATGTGATGCAAAGTCCCTCTGAGAACCCATTTCTCCCTTACTCCACTAATGTTTGGTCCCTTTTCTTCAGTGCTGAGTCATGTGGAAGTTACTTAGAGGTCGTTCCAGGTATTCTTTTAAACTGTCTGAATTTCAGCAGTAAAAGCAGGATTCAGAATACAATTATTCCAGTAACCTACTCATTGTATTGGAGTGATAGTTTTTTTTCTTCCCCAGAGAGATCAAAAGTGGCAGTTGCTGTTTTAGCCCACATTGGCCAGGGGTATGAGTGGTTGAGACTTATGTGGATGGTAATATGAGGAAGAATATTTGACCTTCAAAGTCCAGTTCTGAGACCTGATGTTCTACTGGCATGTTTTTTAATCTTAGTGTGGGAAGTACAGATTGTCAAATAAGCAAGGTGTTAACCATCTCTTCTTATTCTAACTGTAGGCTTTTGGGAGGTGGGAAAGGCAAGCAGAACCTTCTCGGTTTTTCTTAGTTTCTTTCCTGAAAATTCTTTCCAATGGCAGTTTGCTCTGAGACAGTCAACCACCTGTTGAACTAAGAAACCAAGAGAACTCGGGAAGTAACATACTAGTTAATAATCCAGATTGATTCCTCTCTTCACTACCTCTTGTCCTCTCCCTCTGCCCTCAATCCAGAAACATCCTTTTACTTAAGTGTACTTCCTCAGTTCTAAATTTTTGATGGTGCTATTGTCCCCATGAGGGTAGTGAAAGATGACACACAATAGGAAGTCAAGGACTGGAAAATGATGGGTTTCGTGATATGTTACAAAAATAAGTTTCTGGCTAGTGCTAAAAAGCCAGCAATTTGTGTCCTCCATATGGCTTCAGAGAGCTTGTTTCTCAGAAGCAGCTGTATACTTGGGTCACTTCTTACCAGAGATAAGTGAAGGTTAGGTAGGTGCACAGATTGGGACACCTCCTACTTAAGAAATTATCGTGAATTTTTAACCCACAGTTGAAACCGAATGTCTTTGTACCTGCAGTGGTGGGGTTTCCTCTGGATTGGTTGTAATTCCCCACTGAACTAGCCATAGCCAGTGTTGCCTGGTGTCCTTCCCTGTTCAAGCAGCAGGGAGTGCTACTGCCTTTATGGACTGAATCTGACTCCACTTGGGGCCCCTTGTTCTTTTGGTTCTGCCCCTGCTGAGACATCCCTCTGAATGTCCATAGTTCCAGAGGGATGTCCAGAGAATAATTTGAACAGGTATGTTAATGAGTTTTCTTTGTCTCGGTCTTCCCCTTTGGGTTGAGGGCAGCACAGGTATTTTGATTGTGCTTTAAAGTGAAAGCAGAAACTGTATTGGGTAGGAGATTGGGTAAAGGAGACTGGGAGGCCCACCTTTGCCAACAGGTAGCAGTTGGGTCGAGCCCACCCTGTTTTCTTGACCATTAAGAGACCTTTATTTGTACTCAACATGTAGCAAATATTCAGTCTGTGGAATTGATTTCCATTTATCCATTTAAATTGTCATTTTACCCCTAGATTAGTTAGAAGATTAAGAAAAGC